AATATTTATCCCCGTTTACCATTATTCATGATCACGGAGACCCAATCAAAGAGTGATCATTTCTCATACGAGGGAACGAGATCAGTATGCAAATGATACAATGCCGAATCCAGGATTTTTTTTTTCTGTTACAAAAAAAATTATTCTCAATGAAATAAAAAAAAATGTTGTTCTTTATTGTTCGTGATAAAATCTTTAATGAGAAGATAATTTGGGTTAAAATTCTGTCCTGGTCAGGTCGGTTACTTCCCTTGGGATGCCTGAGTTGCAGGGAAGTCCGAATCCCGGAGGTAATGTCCACTGCTGGAGTTTTAACATCATGAAGGTCGCGCGACACTGGTCCCAATCCACTGATGGAAATTGTTGCTGGGACCGGATGATGAAACTTTTGATAAAACCACTGCTGGGACCAAATGATGAAACCACTGATGGGACAAGATGATGAAACCATTCATGGGTCAAGATGATGAAACCATATTCATGGGACAAGATGATGAAACCATATTCATGGGAGAAGCTAATGAAACCATTGATGGGATCAGATGATGAAACCACTGATGGGACCGGATGATGAAACTATTGATGACAAAAACCATTAATGATGAAACCATTTATGGGACAAGCTGATGAAACCATTTATGGAAAAAGCTGATGAAACCATTCATGGGACCATTAGATGAAACTATTGATAAAAGCACTGGTGGTCACCAAGATGATGAAACTATTGATGGGACCAGGCTAGAGAGTTTGGGATTAGACAGCGACCTTCACCTTTCCTACAGCCCAGTGTTCCACACGGCGCCGGTGATTCATCCTTATATTCCAGACCCAGGCCAAACATAGATTTTACAGCAGCAGCCGTGTATTACAGCAAGAACTTTAAAATTCCAATCCCACCAACTGTTTGCATCAATACAAGCCTACACTAAAAATAGCTGGCCATGGCGCTGACCATTCATATACGGAGGTCAGAGAAAGGAAGGAATTTTATTGCATTTGGAAAACTATACATTTTGTTCTGTTTGAGAAGACCCAACCTAAATACACAAGTAAAAGCTAGGCTTTGTTGTCGTTTTCCAATTCTTGAAATTTTACCTGGATTTCTGAAATCTCATATAGATTCCTGAAATCTCATATAGATTCCTGAAATCTCATATAGATTCCTGAAATCTCATATAGATTCCTGAAATCTCATATAGATTCCTGAAATTATTGGATGAAGTAGAAATAGTGCTTAACGAAACGACGAATTGCCAAATTAATATAACAATGAAGAAATTATTAGCCTACTCGATAATTTGAACAATGAGGGGGGCGGGGGAGAAATACGGCGTCATTAGAACAAGGGGATAAAGAACCCGATTATTTGAATAATGGGATATAGTACCAAGTTACTGAAGGATAACGTTAAAACCCCAAACTGATACAACGGAATGGGAATAAAATTATCAACACATAGGGAAAAAAATAAAATTATTTGGGGGAAACATTGAGAGGATGCAACAACATATGTGAACAATGTGGTAAAGCATCAATTTATTGGAATAGTGGGGTTAATTATCAATTATTAGAACTATGGGGTTTAATATTATCAAATTATTGGAAAAATAAAGGTAAGAATAAAATTATCAGACTGTCCCTGAGTCTACTCAGTTCTGATGGGTACCTAACTCTCGATAGGGAAAGTAAAGGCGGCTGGGCATAGTGCTGACCTTTTCATACGCCTACGTCACAGAAACAGGTGAACTCAACTTCACTCGCCCCATAGACCGTCAGGTTTGGAAGGGAAACTTTTATAAAATTATCGGAACAATAGGGTCAAGTAAAATTATTGGAAACAAAGAAAACGTCAAATTTTTTGAAACAATTATTAGAGCAATGGTACAAAGCATTGAGTAATTGGAACCACTGTGTAAAGTGTTGAACTATTGGGAAAAATGGGGTAAAGCATCAGATTATTGGATTAATGGAATAAATGCATCCGATCCCTGATAATAGGTCATACAGCTTACACATCAACACATAAACCAACAGACTCCCGCAGTCTAAAATCAACCCTTACAGCCTACACATCAATACATAAACCAACAGACTCCCGCAGTCTAAAATCAACCATTACAGCAGCACGTTTTAATCGCCAAATGATTTTGTAAAGCACCCCCCTTCCCCCAACAACGCCCCAACGAGTAGATCGTCGATCAAAGGACAGGGGGAGAGAAACCAATTGACCCCTTCCATCTATCAAAGATCAGCCATATATTTGGCATTGTATTTGCATTTCTCCAACTAGAAACAATAAATTACTGATCAGTTCGCCCGGCTCCTATCTCGGGTTCGGGATTCGGAATAAATTTATGGAAATAGGGTGGCTGGGAATCCAGTAAAAAGTACAGGGGGAGGGGGGGATAAACGGGGATAAAGAGAATAATATTCGTGTAGTTTTGGTTGGGTTGTAACACGGGCTGGGTCATAGCGCGTTTGGCATTTACATAGAAGGAGGCTGGGAGAAAATTACAGAGAGATGGAGGTACCGGGGGAATGATTTTATTACATGTTCGGACAACAGGGGGCAATTAGAGCCGCACGGCACGTAGATGTGTGTTGGGGTGTGGGGTGTCTGGGGGTGTGAGGCGATCGTGGATGGGGTAGGGGTGGGGTAGATATTGGGTGGGGTATCTGGGGGTGTAAGGCGATCGTGGATGGGGTAGGGGTGGGGTAGATATTGGTGGAGAGGGGTGGGGTAGATATTGGTGTGGCGAGGCTATATAAGGCGTTTTGGTGGGTAGGGGTGGGGTAGATATTGGTGGGGGGGGGGGGGGTTATATGGGGTGAAAGGCTATTCTGGTGGGTAGGGGTGAGATAGATATTTGTCGGGGGTGGGGGTGGCGTGCTATCTGGGGGTATAAGGCAATCGTGACTGGGTAGGGGATGTTGGTGGGTAGGGGTGAGGTTGATAGTGATGGTGGGGGGGGGGCTCTATGGGGTGTTAAGCATTCGTGCATTCGTAGCTGGGTAGGGGTAACGTATCTATTGACGGGGGGGGGGGGGTGGGGGTGAGGAGACAATTGGGAGGTGTTTAACTAGCTGAAGGGTAGAGTGAGTTAGATATCGATCAGAATAAAAGTTATATTTTCTGTGGATGTATGTCTGACCATGGAGGATTGGGGCTGTATGGATCTAGCATTACGGCTCTGGCATAATGGGAGGGGGGGGGGGGGCGTGGTAAATGCCTGTCCAGAGCTGGCTAGGGAATACGTTGGGTGCCGGGATCGATTGTGGGTTTGGATCCGGCGATGTGGTTTTTGCATGACGGCTACCGGATGGGGGACCTGGAGTTGTGACGTGGATGATGGATTGACCTCGGGACCCGTGGGGATTGAATTGACCTCAGGTGGGTGATGGACTGGTCCGAATTCAGGTGGGTGTTAACTGACCTCAGGTGGGTGATGGACTACATGGACCTCAGGTCAGGAGGGTGTTAACTGACCTCAGGTGATTGACTGGTCCGAATGCAGGTGGGTGATAACTGACCTCGGGTGGGTGATAACTGACCTCGGGTGGGTGATAATTGACCTCAGGTGGGTGATAACTGACCTCGGGTGGGTGATAACTGACCTCGGGTGGGTGATAATTGACCTCAGGTGGGTGATAGATTACATGGACCTCTGGTCAGGAGGGTGTTAACTGACCTCGGGTGGGTGATGGACTGGTCCGAATTCAGGTGGGTTACACACCTCAGGTTATGTGTGGATGAGTTAGGGGCCGTGTATGATGTGTTAAAGAACTATTTTCTGTGTGGTTTAAGAGATACGTCACATCACATGGCCAGGCAGGGTAACATGGCCATAGATGTCTGTGTGGAATTCTACATGTTCTCGCGAGAAGAGCTTCTTTCAGACATTTTCTCCGGGTTGGTGGGGGGGGGGGGGGGGGGCACTTGATACTTTTTGGGAGGGACAGATCTGATTCTATTTTTAAAAATATATTTTGTTTGTGGTGCTGTAGACTGCCCTCCCCCCCCCCCCCTACAGCCCACCCCGAAGAGATGCAAGAAAGAAACTCTGCCTGTGAGGAGGAAACAAGCTTACATTTTATTTCATTCTTGTTGGATGGTGTAAAATATTTCTATTACATCCTGTTCTCCTCTATTGTTACATCCTCATCTAACCCTCAGTGTAGGTAAGAAAACATCATTACAGAACTACATCCCAAGATTTGAGCCTCGGTGTACAAATCCATATTAATTGCTTAAAGTGATTAGATTTTAGTTTTATAATTTAGACCTAATCTTCTTCTAGTATATTGTATTATGTAAGACATCATGCTTTTGAAATATGTATTTTTATAACAGTTTAAAAATTATAATTAAATGGAGCAATAGTATACTTAAAAGACTAATTGACATGACAAGAATGTAGATTTGATTGCATGGCATTTCAGCTTTATTGATTCTTGTACAGTGAACTGTAACGTTAGGTTAAAAGTAATCTGCAAATTTCATATTTTCAGAAAGGAAATATTTCAATAACAAAAGTTCTAAAAAACAAAATTGGTATGTGGTCAATATTCACTAGGTGGGCTCTGGTATAACCTAGTTGGGAGAGGGGTGTGGTTTAGTGGTAGAGTACTCGACTGCTAACATGTAAGTTTTGAGTTCAATTCCAGCATTTGAGAGAAGAGATTTTTTAAGTCCACCCAGCCCTGATGGGTACCTGACACGAGTTTATAAAAGTAAAAGTGACTCTCTTAAACACACAATAACTTAATAAGCCAGGTCTAAGTAACAGGTTAACTCTACTTCACCTGGAAGACAAGTCTGAAAGACAGCGCGACAGCTTAACATAAGCTGGGATACATAAACGACCTATTAAAACCCCCACCTATACTTAAACTCTGTGCTGGATCACACTGTTCTAGAGATGTTAGAGTAAAGTAAAGAGCACTCTACTGACCACGCCACCTCAGTTCCAGAGTCCACCAACTAAAAAAAAATCCCTTACCTGCGCCCCGTGCCAGCCTTGACCGCGTCTCTGTTGAAGTTTGTGTTGGTGAGGGAGAAGTCTTCAGCATTGCTACACAGCAACTTGGGGAAGACAGACTGCTTCTCATAGCGCTCTGTGTCATCGTAGATGTTCCCGTACATGAACCCGTTCATCAGTGTGGAGTGGGCGTGAAGATCAATGTAAAAGTCCATGTCGTGTTTCTATGGACACAAGAGTATATGCTTCATACAGGCAATCAGATATTTTGATTTTGTTAACAGGATAATGTTGATATTAGATAAAAGGAATTTTTTTTAAGTTTACTTATTAGCATAATTTTCATATTATATAATCATCATCTTTTCCCATTTGTGCCCAAGACACATGTTACAGGTGAAGTAGAATTCATCTGTTTTAATAACCTTGGCATACTGGGACATATTCAGAATATGCCCAGCTGCCTTTGTTTCCCAATATGCCATGTACCCATCAGAGCTGGGTGGGCTCTGAGACATCTTGCAAACTCAAGCTAGGGATCTAAACTTGAGACTTTTGGGTTAACAGTCATAAGCTCTACCACCTGACCACCCAGTCCTCTCATATTACATACTAGAACTATGGTAGTGTATATAAGACTGTAAATGTAGTGATATTAGTTTATCATCATTATCTCTCAGAACCCGTTGGTGCATGAGGCATCAACAAGTGAGCACCATTTCATCCTGTCATGCTAGTTCATAGGACTTTCTAATTTAAATAATGGGACTGTTTTGATAATTATAAATTGGAACATTTGATTTTAGAAAATAGGATGATTTTGAAATTGGACAATGCTTTGCTGTGAGGTTTGCTAGAAGGAAAAGTTTTACTTTTTAGAATCAAACATTAATTAATTGTTTAATCGTGCTTAAAGTGAAAATAGATTATAGAGTAAAATGCTGAGTACACAATGAATAGAATGTACACATCTCTGTATGAGTGCCCCTCACCTGATTCCTGTCAAGTTCCATGAGTAAATTTTTTGTAGCATACAGCGTGGGGTGGGCCCAGGGGGATGGCTCCTGCCAGTGCCTGTTGAGGTCAAAGCCCATCAGTGAACACCTACAGATGGGATAAGATGGGATATGTCATGGGTTAGAGAGTACCATTAGGTTATATAAGTCATAGATTAGAGAGTACCATTAGGTTATAAGTCAGATTAGAGAGTACCATTAGGTTATATAAGTCATAGATTATAGAGTACCATTAGGTTATATAAGTCATAGATTATAGAGTACCATTAGGTTATGTCATAGATTAGAGAGTACCATTAGGTTATATAAGTCATAGATTAGAGAGTACCATTAGGTTATATAAGTCATAGATTATAGAGTACCATTAGGTTATATAAGTCATAGATTATAGAGTACCATTAGGTTATATAAGTCATAGATTATAGAGTACCATTAGGTTATGTCATAGATTAGAGAGTACCATTAGGTTATATAAGTCATAGATTAGAGAGTACCATTAGGTTATATAAGTCATAGATTAGAGAGTATCATTAGGTTATATGTCATAGATTATAGAGTACCATTAGGTTATAAGTCATAGATCGTAGAGTACCATTAGGTTATGTCATAGATTAGAGAGTATCATTAGGTTATATAAGTCATAGATTAGTGAGTATCATTAGGTTATATAAGTCATAGATTATAGAGTACCATTAGGTTATGTCATAGATTAGAGAGTACCATTAGGTTATGTCATAGATTAGAGAGTACCATTAGGTTATGTCATAGATTAGAGAGTACCATTAGGTTATATAAGTCATAGATTAGTGAGTACCATTAGGTTATGTCATAGAGAGTACCATTAGGTTATGTCTTAGATTAGAGCAGGGGTTCCCAACCCCGTGCCCACGGGCGCCATGGCGCCCGCTGAACGATTCGTATGTGCCCGCCTCTCACTATTGGACAGAGACTGAATTTTTTTCATAAACATTATTGAAAGGTTGAAGGGGATGGAAATCAAAAGTTTGAGGAGGGGGGTGGGGTGCAAATCGAAAGTTTGAGGAGGGGATGCAAATCGAAAATTTGAGGGGGGGGGTGCAAATCGAAAATTTGAGGGGGGTGCAAACCGAAAGTTTGAGGGGGGGGGGTGCAAATCGAAAGTTTTGTCCCCGGGTGAAGGGAAGGGTCGCTACGCCTCTGGAAGGAGTTTGTCGATTTAAAATAGGTGGTGCCCGCCACCCTGCCGGTATTTTAGAATGTGCTCTAGAGTAAAAAAAGGTTGGGAACCCCTGGATTAGAGAGTACCATTAGGTTATGTCATAGATTAGAGAGTACCATTAGGTTATGTCATAGATTAGAGAGTACCATTAGGTTATATAAGTCATAGATTAGTGAGTACCATTAGGTTATGTCATAGATTACAGAGTACCATTAGGTTAGATGTAATGGATTAGTGAGAACCATTGTTATAAATGGATACTATAGACCAATATAATCCTACTAAGTAAATTATGGGAATTTATTTTTTAAAGCTCATCTTGTGGTAAAATTAATCTTTTTTTCACAGAATGAAGTATATCTTTATGTATTGAAAGCATAGCTAGGGCCAATAAGCTAAATTTAGATCTATATATTATTTTTTACATTTTTGCATAATAAATAAAAATAGATTTCTAAAATAATGGTTAGCATTATCAATGTATTTTCCTAACATGAAATAAGTTTTCCATTTTAAAAAAAATATGTAATAGGTTTGGGCTATCACAAACAGTTAACCCAATTTAAAAAAAAAGCTCTAGAAATAGCTTGGTATTGATTAGTTAGTTGGGTCTGGTTAAGTGATTGATTAATGTTTTCATTGATTCCCAATTTTTAGAACTGCTCCCCACATTTGATTAACCTTAGCCATATCAAACAGTATGGGTTGCAAGCTTGCATATAATATTTCAAACATTTAAGATTGATGTTGGTTCAGTAAATATTGTTAATGGGTGTATTAGTTATAGACTCCCCCCCCCCACCCCCAATCTGTCAACTGCTAGAAAAAAAATCAATTGAAAAAAAAACCCACTAAATAGTAAGTTGATTGAGAGAATATTGCCTATTATTATTATATTGTACCGGAAATTGAGAGGATATTGCCTGTTATTAACGTTAGCCAATATTAAAAACTTGAACAGGAAATTGAGAGAATATTGCTTGTTATTAACTTAAGCCAACATTATAAACTTTAACAGGATATTGAGAGAATATTGCCTGTTATTAACTTTAGCCAATGTTAAAAATTTGAATAGGAAATTGAGAGAATATTGCCTGTTATTAACTGTTATTAACTTTAGCAAACTTTAAAAACTTGAACAGGAAATTGAGAGGATATTGGCTGTCATTATCTTTAGCCAACATTAAAAACTTGAACAGGAAATTGAGAGGATATTGCCTTTTATTAACTTAAGCCAACATTAAAAACTTGAACAGGAAATAACTGCTCACTATCACACTCTGTACTTGTGACTCAGGCAGTTGGTGAAAACTTACCTGTAATTTCCCAAGTAAACACCGTCAGGATTCAACATTGGAACTATTTTAAAAACAAGATGGTCCCTCAGTATTTTAGCAATAGGATGGTTGCTCACTAAAAAATCAATGATCCCTGAAATATAACATTGGAACTATTTTAAAAACAAGATGGTCCCTCAGTATTTTAGCAATAGGATGGTTGCTCACTAAAAAATCAATGATCCCTGAAATATAACATTGGAACATTTTGAAGACAGATGGTCTCTCAGTATTTTAGCAATAGCATAGCTGCTTAATAAAAAATAATTAAAAAATCCCTAAAAAGATATAGTTCAGCTATATTCAATATTACACAGCATTATTGAAAAGATATGAAAATAATTCAATAAAATTGTATTTAATTGAACATATGTAAAAGACTTTAAATATTATATGAACTTTTAAAATATGCACGGATTTTTACAATTATAATCAACAGCACTGTGGTGGGCCTACAATAAAACTTCTAAATAATTTGTTGGTAAAACATTTCAAGCTTAAAATTGTCCAGGCAGAATAAACAATACTTGATAATAGAAAACAAGAATTTAATAAACTTATGAAAATGAGAGGTTTAGATTTTTAAAATATAAAAAAATCAGCAAAACAACTGGTTCCTTTACAAAACATCAACTGGACAAGTGTAGTTTGGATGTGTATACAGCAATGACATAGAAGAATTAAGTAATGATTTTCAGATAAAGCTTTTATTTAATTTTTTTTTAAACATCAGCATTAGTAAATCTTTCATTTAAAAAAAAAATGTATAGATTCAGCTTAGTACCAGCATAGCCGCATAGCATGGCATCATCAAAGTAATAATTATAATATCAAATACCATTCAAATCAAGTTTTGCAACCACTTTTGTAGTTGCAAAGAAAAAAAATTAAAACAACTGACTATATTCTGGGGCAATAGAAAAAACAGTCTCTTTTCATTACTTTAGCCTGGATTTAAATGAATATGTGAGCTTATGCATTAAATGTGACAAACAACACTGACATGTCTAGCCTATTCAATGAGAGTAAAAAAAAAACAATTTAAAATAATTTTTTTTCTTACCCTGACAAACAAATGATGACGGGGTCTCCCCTGGGTGTACCCTGGCTGTTATCAACACAGTTTTTAATTTCTCATTCTCCCCAGCATACAAATCAGGACTAGCTATGGTTAGAAGATCAAGCCTTCGTTGTTGCTAAAAACAAATTTAAAAAGTTGTTCTTTTAGTTTATTTTATCTCAATTTAAAGTAGTTGCAAAATATGTCTTAATTTAAAGTTGTAGCATAGCAATGGAGTGGTCTAGCAGTAGAGAGCTGGACTGCTAACCCGTAAGTCTCGAGTTCGAATCCGGGTTCAAGTCAGTAGACCGTCCCTGAGTTCACCCAACTATGATGGGTACCTAACTCATGTTAGGGTAGGTAAATGCGGCTGGGCATAGTGCTGACCACACTATCTCTTCATATGCCGAGGTCACAGAAACAAGTGAACTCTACTTCACTTGCTCCATAGACCGTCAGATTTGAAAGGGAAACTTATAGCAACCCCATAAGATCTAAGGCTTGAAACTAGATGTTCAATAATTTAAAAAAACTTTAAACTTACCACCGTTAAGCACAACAGCTCTCTGGTAAAAAAATCATAGTTTCTTTTTTCTAAGTTATCGAGATAGTTCTGTAACCTTGTGTAGGAATATGGGTAGCAGTAAGCAAACTGGTAGGTATCTTCTTCACGATCGAAAACAAAGGCAAAGGACATGACATAGTTTTTGCGATGGTCTGGGCAGCGGTAGTAGTAAACAAACTTTGATGGCACTCTAACCCTAGGGGCATTAGAACAAAAACAGACATATGTAAAAACAAATTTATAGCACTGTAATTACTAGAAAATAGAACATAGACAAACAGCTACATGAGAACAAATTTTGATAGCAATGTAACTCTTCAATAAATGAGCACAAACAGATACAATTTTTTATCTCATTAAAAAAATAGCTTAACTAATTCTCCATTACATTGCTAAAACTATTTGTTTGACTTGGTTTTTAATAAGAATTTTAAAATTAATACAAAAAATTAATGAACGATAGTAAAATTATTAGTATTTTGTGTGTGTGTGTGATAATTTTAACAATTGATTATGTGAAGGTGGCAAAGAAAGTTAAACTTGCACAATTAAACCAGAATTTAATCAACGCTTAACAAATTGTTATTAATGCTGATACACAAAATGTGTATATTCAAGAACAAAGAGACAGTTAATGTTGCTCACCACTTAGGCCTGCTGGTTGATTTGACCATTGGTGTCATACCATCCCTGTAGAGGGATTTTGTTTTACTGAAGTTGACAATATTAAAGATGACTCTCTGTGGGAAAAAATTCATCAGGTATTGATAAAAAAGTAAAAAAAAATTAATGGAACAAATAGTTATCTACCAGTTAGAAGAATACTTGAGATACCTAAATAAAGGTTTATACAAATTTAAACAGTAAAGATGATATGACTTAAATCAATAGGTCTATGTAACTTATGTAAAGATTTTGTTACAAAATAGATCTTTATAAAATTGTGTTTATATACATGTGTACAAATGAACTATTTAAAGTAGGTACACCTTAAAAATAATTGTTTCTAATGACAAACTGTATTGTAAAAGCCAGACACTACATTTATGACTGAAAATTAATTTTTACAGCCTGACTATAAAATGACTATGCTGCATACTTTAAGAAATGGTTGTACATCTTTTTGTCATTACCTGATCTGACTTGACATTTTCCACAGTGAAATTAAACCAAACACGAAATCTAGGGTTGCATGTGTCCGGTCGTATAAACAAGTCATATTCTGTCTCTGTGATGTAATCAACACGACCCAGGTTTCCTGGAAGCAAAAAGAAATCACATTTTTTAAAAGAGCATTTTGATTTCTTAATAATTTAATTTCATTCTTAGACAGGTTGCATAGCAATACACTTTCTGTATATGAGCCATTAAAAAAAAATTGTGTTTAAAGAGTGCTTTAAATAATCATGAATTATTTCCAAAAAAAATAATAAAATGTTTTTATTAATTCATTTAGATGTGATGTAAGTACATTTTAACTGTCTTTAATTATCTAAAACCTTATAGTTTTCTAAATTTATCCTAATATTTTTAACACTTTTAATAGAAACTTATAAATGACTAAACCTACCACTTTCAAAACATGCATCAAATATGAGATGACCTCTCCTTGGTTTCCCTGAGTAGTTAGGTGGCACTACTGCAAATTTGTTTACATTTCCAACCACTGGCTCTTCTGTGCTGTCTGTATCACTACCTAACAAGATGCATAGTTAACTAATTATAGAGTCGTATTCTGCAAATTGCTCACTACAAAGCAATTACCTTTTCAGTTTAGCAAAAATAATTTTAATGGATAAGAGAACAAATTTCAAAGTGCTTATAAAGAATACCAATGTGTGTACATGTATCTATTCTATACTATAGACAAAATAGCCATTGCTCATTTAAAAATGTTTCAACACATGATTCTTTTACAATGTTATCATCACACAATGTTAGATGTTGACATTAGATATTAAGTAAGGTAATTTTGTTGATATATATTCTTGTGTGAGGAGCACAGTAGTTGAGTAACTGAAAACAAAACTGATTACTATTTGCTTGAGGAATTCAGTAGCAAGTAGTGGTTCAGCAAAATGCTATATACTTGAAATGAAATGCAAGATTAGGCTTAAGGTTAGGGTACAAGTTGGTCTAGAGTCTGGTATCTTTTGTGAGTAAAAATTAATGTCCTAAAACCCTATTTAAGTAGTAGTTCTGTTGTAACTCGAGGTGATGGTGGATTGAGGGAAGCTAATCTAAACTTTGTAACAGCGCACCTATTTTTACAAAAATTTTACATTGTTGTATCTTCACATGGAACTTCCATTTTTTACCCTCTAACCAAGGATAATTGAAATGGTTTGTTTTTTTAAATTTGAAAGTGCTCGATTTATCTATTTTATTTAATTAGTTTACATTGCTGGTAAGCAACATGAAGCTAACTATGAAACATACAGCAGCATCACAATGAGCCAGCAATATAAAATTATATGATTTATTACACATTTTTACAATGCTGATAAATAAAATGTGATGTTTGAAATTTTAAATTTCACTTCAAATTTTAAATAGTAATAAATAAAGAATAGTAAAAAGGATGAAATTTATTATATTGTGATTAAAATGACTGAAGCATGATGTAATGGTGCAGGGTGTTAAGGATGACTTGACTAGGGAGTTATATTAAGCTTAAATCCCTTAAAATGGCTTATTAATGTGTAAAAATCCTTCAGTATTAATTTGTGAATCATAGTCATATATATCATAGTGTTGTTGTTGCCTGGAATTATAATTCTATTAGTATTTAGGCATATAAAAGAATAAAAGACCCTCAAATGTCAGTTACAGCCTTCACAAGAAAATGGGCATGAATCTCTACTAGATTTAGTAATAGTAATACAGATTCTAGTCTTTAAATTTCATAAAACCAAAGCAAGTAAGTGTAAGCAAGGCATGATCCAAGTACAAGTAATTATACCCCTCAGTTCAGTTGTGATTATTTTACAATGCTTTCGTTAAAACTGGTGACAATGGACTCGTCAGTTAGATTTAAACAAGAAGAGTAAAAAAAAACAACAACTTTGAAAGTTGAAAGTAGGGGAAGTTTTAGTTTAAGAATCAGATTGAAAATGAAGAAAGAAAAGAATTAGGCCTAAGCTTTGAAATAAGTTCGAGTACCATACATCTATATAGGTATATTTATGCATGGAAAATAAGAAATGTTTTTTAGTTTATTAATTGTTTAGCATCAAAATGCTTTGTTCTTGAGATCTTGTTGCATTTCAACTTTCAGGATACCTGAATCGCCCTGTTTGTCCGCCATCTTGATACAGCGACGCTTTTACTTCACTACGGAATAAAAACAAAAATGGTGGGTACTGATTGGTTCTTTTTTACGACAACAAGTGTTCAGGAACTGAAGAATTGTTTCGAATTGTAAAACATTAATTAAATGATAATTGACTATCTTGTCTGCTTACTTCTATGAGGTAAACGTGTAGAGTAATGCAATATAGTCTTAATTTTTATTTATTTATTCGTAATTTCACAAAGTTCTTCTATTTAGAATTACTGTAGGCCTATTCATATTCGGTAGCACTAGCTTACAATAGTTACATGTGTTGTTTTTTGGTTTTTACTTTCTCGTATATACGAAGTATAGAGAAAGTATTGATACGGAAAAACATAATTTTGCAATCTTGTCCGTATGTCTCTCTGTGTGTGTGTGTGTGTCTGTGTGTGTCTGTGTGTAAACACAATTACTCGAGTACCGTTACAGCTATGTTGATGAAAAATTTCATATATAAGTATTTTATCAAAATCGTAGATCAGTATTAACTTTTGAGCGATTTCCGATAACCGGAAGTGGTACTTTTCCTACTTTGAATTTTTCAAAAGTCTATAATTTGAGTACTATTTCAGATAAATAAATGAAATTTCACATGTAAGTAAAAGATCTAATTCTCTACCTTCTGTCAAATTTTGAGTAATTTCCGTTGACCAGAAGTACTAATTTACGCTATTTCCGATTTCTCAAAAAACGCACGTAAATTTTTAAAGTACTAATAATATCCCGCACTATTATGCACATTTTATTAGGCGTTCACATTAGTGTGCAATTCTTTTTTTTTACGAGATTCCATTCCATTATAAAAAGTTTAAGTAATTAAAAATGGATTACACATATTGTCTATGTCCTGAGTTGCAATCCCTCGTAGTTTTATATTAGAAAATCTGAGAAAGTTTAGGGGAGATCACCACGGTTTATTTTGTAATAGATCTAGTACTAACACTAACATGTAAAAACAGTTTCCCTGGGACTTTCAGGACACATCCGATACCGAAGGCCCAGACCCCGCGAAGGGATAACATGGATAAAAAGTTCGAGTCGACCTCTCAACTACAACCTAGACAGGTTTTATATCACCCTAATTTTTTTTCGATACATCTTATGAACATTATGTTCCCTCTAATCTGCGCGGTTGCGCGGCCGCGCGGTAGTTTTGAACCAGTCATTTTGTAAATTATGTATATCCTTATATAAGACTTTTAGAACAGCGCGTACACAAAATACAAGTTGTACACTAGCCTTTTCCCCTTAGAGGGAATGTTGCTTATGATGCTTCATTCAGTCTGAGACGATGTGAGCGGGAAAAAGTCACAGGAAAAATATTACAGAAAACAAGCAAATATGCATGTTTTGTTAGTAACATATTTATAAACTGTAAAAGTTACTAAACGCGTTATGATTTTTAATAATAATCCGTCCTTGATCTTCATAATAAGTAAACATACTAAAACATAATTTACACATCAGACTCAAATTTCGCTACATATTTACCCGATAGAAAAATTAAAAGAGAAATTTAGGCACATCATGGTGCTTTGCGTATGTTTTTGCCTTTAGTCCTTTCTTCTCTCGGCCTTGTCAATCCATATGGACTGATGACGATTGCGTGTCGGCTTTTTGTCTAGATTCTAGATCCTATGAAGTAAAGTTCCCTTTTCAAACCTGACGGTCTATAGGGCAAGTGAAGTAGAGTTCACTTGTTTCTGTGACCTCGGCATATGAAGAGATAGTGTGGTCAGCACTATGCCCAGCCGCCTTACTTTCCTAACGTGAGTTATGTACCCATCAGCGTTGGGTAGACTCAGGGACGGTCTACTGACTTGAACCCGGATTCGAACTCGAGACTACAGCTAGACCACTCCGTCCCCTTGATCCTATGCTTTGTTATGTAATGAGAGTTATAAATGTGGGCGACGAAGGTGGTTGAACTATTGTTTCGATTAGTTGAGGACCACAAATCATATTCAGTGTTTCTTTCAGCATATTAACTGTCTTCTTCCCATTTCACACTGACTCAAAACTTGTATTTAAAAAAAACACATTCTACTTAATTATATTCTATATCGGAAATTTAAAAAAAAATTACATAATTCAGACTAAATATCTTTACGTGTGTTATAAATATTACTATACAAATATATCCTAAGCACATTACATTGAATTAATCGTATACTGATTTGCACTTTCTGAAAACATACACGTATTAACAAACTCGATTCAAATAAACATGTAAGACTTTTTTTCCCTGTGACTTTATTTTCTGTGACGACACCCCATAGATACTTAAAAACATGATAACCGTTTCGGAACAAACTTCGAAACAGAGTTTCTTCCAGGCATCTCTTCGGGGCGGCGAAGCCCCCCCCCCCCCCCGAAAAATTTTTACCGCCCCCCCCCCCCCCCCCCCGAACGAAATGAAATTTATATAATTTATATAGAAAATATATACTTTTAACAGTGTCCGCCCCTCCGAAGAAAGTTTACCGCCCCCCCCCCCCCGAAGATTTCAAGTGCCCCCCCCCCCCCGGAGAAAAAAGTCTGGAAGAAACACTGCTTCAAAACAGAATCAATGCTGACCAAAGTGGATATTTCTCTCTATATATATAAACGTAGACAATGTTCCAGCAGAAAAGTCTAAGTTTCCAGAAGATGCAGATGGTTGTTCTAATTCTAATGGAAATATGAATGGCAAATGTAGGCAAAGTTAACTAACCCTATGAAGAAAACTGTAGACTGTAGATCATACTCTACGACCTCTGTGGAGGCTGGACATCAGTGACCCTCACATCAGCCTGTAATTTTTTTTTTTTTTAAAAGTCGTCTTCAACATCACATAAAACTCCATAGAGTAGCTAATGTCATCCCCCCGACACAGGAAAGTTTAGTGGAAAGTTTTGGAAAAGTCGTTAAATAAATCGAAACTTACCGTTTTATTCGGACTATTTTGAAAGGAGGTTGCTTGCTAAAACGATATTTTAGAATTCAACACAATTGTGTCCCCGAAATTGCTACTATTTTTTTGTTGACATAAACTTCAAAATTGATATAGCCTACATGTTATATCAAGAATTATTTTAAAACAAAATTAATTAATTAAAATAATTAAATTAAAACGAAAATTCGCATGTTTTCGTCATAGGGGCATCTTCCGAATATCTCATACAATGAAAAGGAAACTGTAAAAAGTATGCATCTAAATTTAACAAGGTGACCCGTACCGTAATGCGAGGCGTTGTTAAAACAAAAGTTCTATCTTCATTCAAGTGTTTTATTTACAATGGAGTAAGCCTCACATTTAATATTTAGGGCCTTCTAATTAAGTTATTAACCGAATAGCCTGTAGGAAAACAGATAGAAAGAAAAAGTACAACAGGATTCCTACACCGAGAGCAACATCGCAGGCAAACTTCACGGTGGTCAGAGTTGCTTCCAGGCATCTCTTCACCGCCCCCCCCCCTCCTCCCCGAACGAAATGAAATTATATAATTTATATAGAAAATATATACTTTTAAGAGTGTCCGCCCCATCCCCCGAAGAAAGTCTACCCCCCCCCCCCGAAAATTTCAAGTGCCCCCCCCCCCCCCCCCGGAGAAAAAAGTCTGGAAGCAGTGTTTCTTCCAGACTTTTTTCTCCGGGGGAGGGGCTTTTGAAATTTTCGGGGAGGGGGGGGGCGGTCAACATTTTTCGAGGGTGGGGGGAGGCTGGGGCGGACACTAGTAAAAGTGTATGTTTACTATATAAAATCCATTTCGTTCGGGGGGGGGGGGGGGCGGTAGACATACATTCTTCGGGATGGGGCGGAACCCCCCCCCCCCCCGAAGAGATGCCTGGAAGAAACTCTGTCTGGAAGAAACACTGACGGTGGTCTCCAGAATTGCAAGCTCATCATACAATTTGTCTTTGAGGGAGTGTTTTGGCCAGTTTTGAGGTCAGTGTAGACCGCGTCTGTTGGTACAAGGTACAGTCCTGTAAGAGTTGTTCGGTTTTTTCTGGGGCCTCATCACAATGGCAGGGGTCAGCGTGGTCGAGTCGGTAAAGCTCATGGTTGCTAAACCGAAAAGTCTCGAGTTCGAACCCTTGGGCAGATGAGGCTCGTTAGCTGGGGACAGCCACTCTTCTAGGAGAGACAACTCCAAAAATAAAAACAAACTGCTGCCTTGTAGCTGTTCTTGGTTGGACAAAGGCTATGGAAGGAAATCCAAAAAGAAAAGCAGGCTGAAATCGGAGTCAATAATCAGTTGACACGTAAATCTTAATTGTGTTGGAAAGGGGTTGGCGTGGTCGAGTAGGTAAAGGCTCATAGTTGCTAAACCAAAGTCTCTAGTTCGATCCCTTCCAACACTAAAAATTAAGAACGAAGAAGAAGAAGATCACAATGGCAGATGAGACCAACTTAGAATTTTTCTAAACAAAGGTTCATCCAGATGTCTTGACATCCTTCTGTTTACTCCTTGTGGAGCATATCTTCCATTTTGTCCGGCCCCCGGATGTTGATTTTGCAATCTCCCTGCTGTCTTCAGTTCTTCAACAAAATTCCGCCTCCAGGTTTGTCTTGAGCACCCTCTCTTTTGCCTTACCTGGGGGTTCTACTCAAGCACCTGACGTGTCACAATTTGGTGAGCCTTTCGCAGAATGTGTCCCACCCAGCGCCACATCCTTCTTATTTGCACCCTCATAGGCTTCTATCTTCCCATCTCCATAGGTCTATATTAGGGCACTTTGTCCTGCAACCTCAAGTTCAGAATAATATGTCTGAGTTCATCCAATTGTGACTTGCTCTAAGTCTGAGATTCATACATTGCTCCATGCGTGTTCGTTTGGAACAGGCTTCGTCTTTTCTATAATACGTGAGAACTTTAGTAAGCTGGTCCGCAATCTTTTGTTAGATTTTAATTGTTCTAGACCAGTTCCTAAAGATAAAATTTTATGGAAACTACCTGGAATGACCAAATGAAGTAATATTTCATGCAAACCAATGACCCGTGAATCACTCGACATCATCTCTTCCCTTTCG